GGGCATTGCATTCTCATTTTGTGCTGCTTTGTCTCTCTCTTCTCCAAAGCTGGAGGAAGGAAGGGAAGCTGTTGCACAGTGCCAGAGTAGAGCAGATGCTGCATTGTAGGACCAGCCAAAGATTTCTGGGATGGAAGCAAGTGAAGAAGAGATGGGAAGATAGTGATGAGTCCTTCAGGGATCTTAGATGACAAGAGGATGGCTGCAGCACCACTCTCATCAGGTTAGCAGGGAGCAAAGCACAGGCTCAGAGAAGCACCAGCCTGTCACATGGGCTGCCTTAAATTCTCTGCTTTAGTTCATCATCTGTGACTGGCACTGAAAATTAAATTGACACGTGTGAAGGAGAAGAAAGAGGCTTCTGTCTCATGCTTTATAAGGGCTGAACACCCTGGTTCTAAACTGAGCTTATCAGTTAGTCCCATACATCAGCTGTGGAAACTGCACTTTCTAATAGTCCTGTTCAAATTGATTCTTCACAGGTTATTAAGGCCTTTAAAACTTTCCTATTGAATAAACATAAAGTTTTAATTTTTGCATTGTAATTCTGAATTAGTACTGTCATGATCTCCTTCTACTGAAGTACTTGGTTTTCAATGTATAATATGAAAGCTCTTTTTAGAAGTAAATATGTCAACTAAGGCCTTATCCACTCTCAAACTTTCTTTGTTTTCCATTCTGTCACAGACATGCACTCCCTCTTTCCTGCTCATGCACTCTCACTTTCATTCTTTCTCCACCCTGCTTCTTTTTGTCCGAATTTAAGACTTATGGATTTGGGGGTTTGTAGGTTACTGTTTTTAGTAATTTTTTAAAGTGATTTAATATTTGCCAAGGCAAAATCATGCACAGAAATCTTTGCTAAGGCACTGCTTTCTACTGCTACAGAGATTAGACACTATATTTAATTTTTCAGCTTCTTTCAGGTCCTTTGGAATTCTTAGGAAAGTAGCATCTGATCTTCATGATTTGTTATCAGTCCTCTTATAGATTTTGGTGAAGCTCTTCCAGCAAGGGTTGAACATTGTCACAAACCTGATGCTTGCGGCTTGAATGGAACGATCTAAATTACTGCCAGAATTTGTAAGTAGTAACTCTGAACAGGAGTTGTTGGGGTCAGTATAATATCAGACATCTACAGAAAGTTTTAGGATGCAAATGGGCAGAAGTGTTTGAAATTCCCTTTTGAAGTAATTAAACTTTCTTTAAGAAGTCTAATTAAAATAGAAGGAATGTTATTGAATTATAATATTTCTAGTATCTAGTATGTCACACCCTTTTATGAATACAGAATTTGGTATTTCCAGTACAGCACATTCCTAAGAGAGCTTTAAGCTACAGCTGCCAATGAATTAATTACTTCCTTTGGCAAAAGTTAATCATTGGTGTGTTTGGGGGTTTTTTTCCCTCTCCATCTTCTAATTCTGGTTCATGAAAATCTGTGTTCTGTTGGTTTCTGGCACAACTTTGTGTTGAGAAATCCTATCAAGCTCTTTGCTAAGTCAGGAGCCAATTGGAGCATGAACACTGAAATCAGCCCTTGCTATCCATGAAGAATCTGTTTTAAAGCAAACTTCAGTAAATCAAATATTGTTTTGCCTGAAGAGCCTGCTGCCCTTCCTTCTTTGTCGTTCTTCCTCCCACAGGAGAAAGTGTTTTAGGACCTACTATTTTACCATGAGAAATATTAAACTCTTTATTTGCTTTTATCACACCTTTATCTTTGCACTATTGCAGACATAGTGTATTGGGGGGGAAAAGTGATCTTTATTAACTTCTTTACTTGATTTTCCCCTCAGTTTTCTACTGATGCATATGAAATTATGATTTTGCTTTATTTATATTCCTGAGAAGTGCTATTTTCTTATTGTTTCTTTATCTCACTTCCACACTCTGACAGCTGGAATTGCTGTGGGCATTTATTTACTCAAACCTGTCTTGAAAGCAATAATTTATGAACAAGGCAATATTATGCATGAGGAGCTCTAAGCAGTAACTCCTTTTTGATTTAGTGTTCAATACATCTAAAAGTCAAACATCAGCCAACTTATCCACAAGTATCCATAGGTATACATTTGTAACAGGCAGGCTTTTATCTGCCTCCATTTGGCATTCAGGGAAAGGTGAGGTGGCTGGTGCAGAACATGGAGCTGCCCTGGATGGCTTTCATCAGAAATAGTAACTTTCTCCTCTGTAATTAACCCTTTCCATGTCTTGCAAGTTTGAAATGAAAAAAAAAATTCCTCAGAAAGACTATGGTATAAAAAATGATGTTGTTGAAAAAGAATCCAGAGCCTGGAGTAGCTGTGTGACTCAAAAGCACTTTGTAGGTAAGTCACCTGTCAGGTATGTGCAGGTCATTGCTCCTGATGTTGCATGTCTGACTTTATCTCTTTGTCTCAGTAAAGCTTTCAGTCACGTGGTTGTTTTGTCCCTGTCCAACGGAGCATCTACAGAAACGTTGCAACCTCACAGAGTGGCTGCAAACAAAGCAAATCAACCACAAGGGTTTTTTCTAGTCGTGCCTTCAAGAAGCTTTGCTGTAATCAGCAAAAAGAGCTGAGTGGAGAGGTTTGCTTCCGGTCTTTTGGTGCCTGTAGTTACAGCTCGAGTTCCTCTGGGTGTCCATAGGGTGAGTGAGAGTGAGTGGAGTTCCCATTTCCCAAATGGGACGGGAGTCACGTTCTCCAGGCAGTGCCTGTGCCATTCGCTGTGCAGGCAGGGGATGGTGCTGTTGTTCCAAATAACCTTGTCATGGTGCTGCTCAAGATTTCACTTCTCTCTTGAATCACTTGCTTAATATTTTGGGGTTTTTTTGTACCTCTTTCAGATTGCTTTCCTCAACCTAAAGCATGAGTCAGACAATTGAATTTTTTGTTATTATATTTTCAGGATCCTTTAATATAATTTTTTGTGCACTATGAAATGAGAGAGACTAGTGAACTTTATTGGAAACAGAAGCTGGGTTTACACACATGACATTTTTATTAATGTTAAGCATTTCCCTTCTGCAGTCTGAGCACAACCAGCCTCCAGTATTCCATCCCAGTCACAGTTAGGAAAAATTAGAAAATCTGTTTTTGTTAAACTCATGCATTTACAACTTGTGAGTTTAGTGGAACTGATTTTGCTGTGCCAGTATTATTTCATATACAGAGATTTCTCACCTGCAGTCCCTGAATTATTACCATGTTTTAGTGAGCCTGGGAGGTTATTTCATATCATTCAAGCAACAGCATGACTGCCCTGCACTGTGTAAAGAAATGGAAAGGCTGTGGAGGATCTGATATTTTAGGAAGTCACTGCGTAATTAGCAGGAAAAACTCATCACTCTCATGGAGCAGAAAGGACAGGAAAGATGATATTTTTAATTTTTCTTTTTCATTTCAACCAGTTGTGTATGATGGGATAACAGAGAGCAGGAAAGAGGAAGGATGGTGTAAGACACTAATCTAGTCTGCTACTACAAGAGGAAAGGGCCAAAGTAATCTTGCATTGGTATCTGTGGGAAGTGGGCTCATCAATCCTCCTGGACCTAGAGTATATGCACATAGAATTCCATCCACAGAGTAGTCTCATGGTTTTAACTTTTGGCTACTTCTAACCTTAATTTCAGTAGGTAGCACAATGGTAAAGCAAGAGGTCCTGGTCTTGGTCTTTCTTTTACACACATCTATGAAGGAAAAAAGTCCCACCTACACTGGTTGGCTTTTTATTTCCACACACTTTGCAGTAAATGTGCTTCCCTCGTACCCTTCCTACTCTCAAAGCCTCCTTCAATAACAGGCTACAAGCTGCATATAATGAGGCCTAAAAGACACAACAGTACCTGTGAAATTCACTGAAAATGTCATTAGAAGCCTTACTCTGTGTATTCAGCACATGTTGTGTTCTTTCGTGCTGACTGCTTTGTCTTTGTATGCAGAAATATTAAATCAGGGAATTTACTCTGGATGCCTCTAAAACTTCATTAGTTATTTTGCCTGTTTATCTGTGCTCATCCTTCTGGCACTTTATGTTTACTTTCAGAAAACGATTCTCTGATGATAAGGATGAATGGAGGAAATTAAGAGTTTATAGATCATGATTGTACTGGCACCAAGTGACTATGAATGCTAAAATAAAGGGAAAAAGAAGTGCATTCATTTTTGGTGTGTTTCAGCAATGGCAGCTTAGTGTTTAAAACTGACTTTCCACCGTTGCCATCCACTGCTGCTAACAAAGAAGTGAACCAGTGTTCAGTCACAGCTTACACTTCTATTGTATTCACCATCTTAGTAGCAGTGCTTGCATTATATATTACATGCAGACCCCCATGTGGGCTTCACTTGAAACAGGTCTCTCCCAGGTTGTTCCTTAATGGACACAGCCAAAATTTTCCTTTAATGATGATACAGACGTGGTATCAGATGATACAGACTTGGAAGGAAGAATGAGACTGGTTTTTTTGCTCCTGTGGGATTTATTTACCTACACTCCCTCTCCTTTTCCTTCATGCTTTATGTTAACAGGATCTATAAAATGTTTTAAAATCTTATCTCCAGGTAATGTAACTTGCTGCTCCATGAAGAGCATCACAGTGATTCTGCCACACAGCTGGTATAAAACATCTGCTAACCTTAAGGGTATAATACAGCAACCACCCTGTAGTGCCATTTACAGTGGGTAAAAATACACTGCCATCCATCAAAGACATCCTCTGGCTACAGGAAACAAAACCCAGGCAAAATGATTGCCTGATTATTTAACCTGTTTACTTTGTGGTTTGCCTTGGCTCAGGACCCACTGTGTCACCTCCACTCAAGGCTGATGGATCATGATGTGTATTTATCTGAAGCCTCTTGCTGTTTGTCTCAGTCTGTCTTACTGGGCTCTTGTGTTGCAGGGTGGGATCCAAGCAGCCCTCACAGCACTCATGGCCCAGGTTAATGCCACATTTACACCAAAGGTCCCTCCTCACAGTTTACTTCAGTGCCTGTGCAGGCAGACCCCTGATGTTACTGTGACCTACGAGCTACTCAGGGACTGGGAGTTGACTGGTGGGAAGAAGGGAGGAGAGAAGACTTGGAATTGATGAATGACCAGGAGAAGAGGAGAGTCATTTACTGCTCTCAGACTAGAAGGGCCCCCCAGCAACACTGCCAGGTAGGAAGCTTGGAAACAAAATGAAAGGAAAAGTGCGTCACGACGTGATTAAATTATAGACCCTGCTGTTACATGGCACTATGGAGACCGTGACTACAAGTGACACTGGTAGGATAAAAAGACCAGTTCATGCAAACAGGTCCTTTGGTGGGTTTTACAGCAGATACAGTGTGTAGCTCACACTGTTCCCAGCTGCTTTTTCTGGGATGTAGCAGGGAGCGCTGTCGCTGCTGACAACCAGTTCTTGGATTAAATTGCCCACCCTCTGAGACAGGTACCAGGTTTTATTTTTTCCCCTCATAATGCTTGGCTAGCAATTAATTTATCTTCCCCTTGACTGCCTGCTAAGTCATGTGTTAAAAATGTTAAAATATTCCTATAAGACTTTCTCCACACAAGAAAGTGCTGCATTATGAGGTTGTTAATCTACAGCCTCTGGGGAGTGACCTTGATGAATTCCAAGCTGAGCTGAAGTGATTCAGAGGAGACAACAGTCTGGAAGGAGTGTTGGAGATGTGGTTGTTCCTGCCTTGGGGAGGGGAGAAGAGAGGACAGTGTTTCTCAACCTATTTTAGTTGAAGACTCACCTAAACCTATTTGAAAAACAAACCAACAAAAATGAAGGAAAGCTTGGAACATGCATCTGTTTTTCCCTGATCCTCTCCTATTTCATTCATTCACATGAGGTTTGTGTGTGTGTGTAGGTGAACAAGATCTTTCTAGTAAGTGCTTGCAATGGTTTGTTAGACTGTGTTCTTAAGGAGTTTTGTTTTCAGCAGATTCCTGCCAGTTCCTAGTCTTGGAAATGATGGATGGGGAGAGGCTTCCCGGGCTTGCACTTGCCTGGAGCAATGCCAAGCCCACGGACAGCGAAGATCTGACATAAGGTCTGTCCCTTTGTTCCTGTTGATACCTTTCAGGGTGCCCACAGCTCTCAGTGCCCAACACTGAACCTGCCCAGCATCTCATGGGCTGGCCTGTACCAACCACATTGGGGTGAGAAATGAGCAGCCTAAATTCTGTTTGCAGCTGCCAATGGGAACAGCTGCATTTAGTTCTGTCCATACATGTGAAAAGCTGCAACTCCTCCTCTCCTGCTGCATTCCCTTCTTTCTCCACAGGTTGTTTGCTCGGGACAAATTTCCTTTTTTTGAAGGCCTGACAATTGAACAGTTTGCGTTTTGAACTCCCTTCTTCAAGTTTGTCAACTCAACTTCCCCAGCAACAGTGAGGGAAAGGTCAGATAGTCCCCAGCACAGAGCTTTCCAAGCCTCATTGGAGGAGTTGTTCTTTTTAAAATGGGGACATTAAACTGCCACACATGAGACTTGTGTAAGAGGAGTAACACTGACTGGGGGAACTTTCACAAAACCTGTACTTACGCTGTCTGGCTTGTAGTCCTGGTGGATTTAAGCATGCAGGAACTACACTGGAAGACTTGGATGTGGTTTAGGCTTTAAGGCACCTTATTAGAGAGTCCCATATTAGAAATAGTAGTTAGGATGAAACATATGGCATGGACCAGTTTGAGCTTTGGTCAGAGCACTCTGCCAGAGAGGCTCTGGGGACTCTGAGTGCGACTGCAATCGATTGATGACCTCTACAGAGGGAGACTGTAATTGTTACATTTATTCCATTTGAAAATGTCTGGATGTTCTTTTCCATGGGAGCTGTAGGCTCTGCATTCCCCGAGTGCAAGTGTAACTGGCTTTCACAGCAGTTACAGGTGGGGAGGCAAGAAAGAAGTGACTTGCCAGTTTGCTTTTCAGAAATTTTGCTCTTTGCTCCTCTGGTAATAGGAAACTCTAAACCTTTTCTGCAGATTCAGAAGTGGCCTTTGTCCATGAAAGGACCTTTGAACATGCTTAACTACACTCTTTTTTGCCCTAAAATTTCCTGGGAGATGAGGTTTTATATACAAAAAGAACATCCCTTCCAATACTGTCAGTGCTTGACCAGCTATTTGTAAGAAGTTGAATGAACAGAGCAATATGTAGTAAAGGATTATCTCTCTCTAAATTCTAGGGGTATGATTTGATTTGGACCTTAGAGCAATCAGGGTGTTCAGGGTATTGTGGTGCCCTAAAGTTGTCCTGGGGAACACTGGCTTGGTGACATTTCATTCCTTTCCTGATGTCTCCACTCCAGGGAGCAGTGTGACCATTCCTTGCTGGTTTGCATGGGGAGCTGGGACAGATGAAGGAAGGTGGGTTTTACTCCATAAACCCGCTGTTGGTCCCGGAGAAAGCAATTTGGCAAAGAGCTTACAGGGAGAGAGATGTGATTAGCATTAAAGGGTGTCAAGTCAACCACTAAAAGCTGCAGTGTGGGCAAGTTCCTTGGGAGCAGGGGCTTGGGAACAAATCAAGACTTTGTGGCACTTTCAGAGCAGTTTTTGATTGCCTTTCAGTCTCATTCGATGCTCATCTAATGAAAACCTTGCAGAACTCCATGGCTGGCCTAAAAAAATTGCTTTCAGTCTCAGACTCTGTAAGCTAATTTTTTTTTCCTCATCCTTTTTTTTTCCTAGCATGAGTCACAGTAACAGAGGGTATGTTATTGAAGTTCACAGATGGCAACAGGGAGAAACAACATCCATTCCCAACTGTCAATCCTTCAGAAAAGTACTGGTTTGCTGGTGTGCTTAATATCTGAGTTAGAGCATGCCCAGGAAGGCACTGCTCCTGTCAGAGCTCTGTCAGCTCTCCCACCAAAACCCAGATGGAATATGCAGCCAAGATTTTGAGCTGGTTCATTATCCACCTGCATAACCCATGAGCCAGCCTTTCACAAATGAAAATTGAATTTTGACATTTTTGAGGGTGTGAAAGTGGGAGCAAAAGCTGAAGTATCTTGCCCAGGTTCAACACAGCAAGTCAGTGACAGTTTCCCCTTTTCTGGCATCACTGTTGTCAAACCAACAGAATGCTCAGAGAGCTCCAGGAATGTTAATTGCTGACTCCTGGCATGCCAGCATTGCCTGTGACTTGCTGAAGGTCGTGTGCCATGTGGGAATTCTGATTGGATATATGGAAGATGGAAAGTTTTGTTGTCTTATCCATCATTTTAATGGCAACACTTATACATAGTTGAGAAAAAAACCAAACCTACTGAGCTGGAAAATACAATGAACTGATAATTTTTCTCCATGAAGCCGAATTGAGCTCTTGACTCACTTTTGTCATCAGTTCATCTGGCTTTATGATTATATGTAATTTAGCTCCTTCCGTGTAATGTACTTGATAAAGCTAAATGGATACTCTGCTTTATGGATCTCAGCTGAGTACAACTGGAGAGAGATCTTAGCTGAGTGTTGAATAGACTCAAATCCCCCAACAGCAAATTCTGTACATGCTCACATTGTCAGAGGGGGGTATTGAAAACAGGGCACTGGCATAGTGACAGTTTCCTTAGGGAATTGCTGGTTGGTAGAAGTCCCTCTGTGCTTACTGTGGAGAAATAGCAGAGAGGCAGAGAAGAGCCTTCCTTGTCTCTTCCAGGGACCTGCACCACCCCAGGGTCACTGCCTGCACAGAGGGTAAAGGTTCTCTTGGATTTGGGATTGATAGTGAGCTCTGAAGCTTTAAGACAGGTGTGGTCCAACAAGAAATCTTGCACCTCAACTTTTTCAGGCTTCAGAAATTGCCAGAAGATCTCCCAGGAGATTTCAATCGTGCACTGATAGCTGGAAATCAGACCTGGACACAGCACCAGATGCCTTATATGAATACTGTGTGTTACACAGGGACCTGTTCAGGTGTGGACTCTGAGAGATCCCATCTAACAAGATTATACACCCTTTTAATGGCATGGAGATTGCTGGGACCTTGGGATCGTGTGGGATAAATGTGTGGCTTCTAACAGGCTTGAACAGGCCACTTCAGTAAAGCCTTTTTGCAAACTATCTTAGAATTACTCTGTCATTAGATACTGTGGCCATTTGGGTATGAATTTTGTTCCAGAATTAAAAATACCTGCTGCTTTCCTTCTACTTCCTCCACTCAGGCCCACCAAGGGGCTGCCTCTTGGCTCCTCCTTCAGGGCTGCACTGAGTCTCCCAGCCTTGTCCTTCCCACTCTGGAGCCATCTCTGCTCTGCAGGATATGTGGGACCTTCCTCTCTGCCCAGAATTGTACCCTCTATTTTACTTTGCCTACTGTGAGTTCAGGGACAGTACTTCCTGCTTTGGGTAGTTTTTGGTGTCAGAGCACTGAACAGCCAGGCAAATGATCTCAAACATGATGATGAGTTTTAAAATCTGTGTGAATCTGTGGCTGTCTGCACCAGTGGCTTCCTCACAGTAACTGAGGGCAGGAATTTAGCCTGTAGCAGGTGCAGTTCCTCATGATTTAGCCTGAGAGACCCTCCTCATGGTGAATTTACATTTAAATAATCCCATGAAATGCAAGGGTGGCTGTTCTTGAAAAGGTAAATGCAGTAAGGCCTTTCTTGGCTGATGGTTGAATTATTTTGAGAGCAGAGGTAAAAAGCTTTCTGGTGAACAGGTAGAAAAAACTTAATGCATTTACATGACATGGTGGAGCAATAAATTAAAATTGTCTTTTGTTGTTTGTTTTGATGTTTGTAATATGTTTTCCACCCTAGTAATCTCTACAAGTGCCAGTGAAATACATGAGGCTGTCTGGTGGCACCACAAGAGACTTATATTCTTGAGCTCACAACCCTCTGGAACTTTGAAAAAAAAATAAATTATTTAATGAGTGACGGATATTTAGCCTGGCTCAATAAATAAGTCTAGAGAAAATTGAGAGGGAGACTTCAGTGGGGGACTAAGGAAATGTGATGGTGTTTTGAATGAGAAGTGTTAGAAAAATGTTAGGAGGTATTGGTTTTTCTAGATGGTTTCATAAAACCAGCTGAAACAAACACTCAGAAAGTGAAATGCTAACATGCTGGCTTAATAAGCGAGATTAAATTAGATTTTATGATTAAACTTGGATGAATTAATGCAGTATATATTAAGAAAGCCCCTGGAAATCAAGAACTGAAATTTTCTTTCACAATGTTAAAAAAAGACAGAACATGGTACCCTTGGGCTATTTAATTTCTTCTTTCTATTGAGGTTTGAGAAAAGACTTTTTTTTTTGTTTGCCATTTTTTTGGTCTGTCTTAATTTACATTCCTTAAAGAGAGTGGTGGGGTTTTTTTGTGGGGCTGGATGTTGGAGGGTGATGTTTTTTTCTTCCCTCAGTTTAGATGAGACAAATAGAAGTCACATGGAAATAAAAACAGAACTCTGTTGCTGGCTCAAATTAGTCTGAAGCAGAATGTAACTGGTAAATTAGGCACTCAGTAGACCAGAGCAAATTAGTTTGATAGTTTGCATATATCTGAATGGACAATTCTTAGGTGTTTTTGACCTGACTGTATGGTAAACTAATGCCAAGTTAATTAGTTGTTAACACTTGCTGAAGGCTGAGCTCACAGTCTCTGTAAAAGAAGACTTCAAGCAATCATTTTGCACAGTAAGAACTTGCTTGTGGTAATGGCATAAATGCAAAATGACTTTATGACCTTTAGCAGAGATATTCAATACCAGCTGGTTCACAAGATTATAATATGAGAGTCCAAAAGGCAGAAAATGGAATAATTAAGCAGAAAAGCCAGGAGAAAATGCATCTAAAATTGCCCACATCTCACCACTGAAGTACCACGCACACCTTGGAACCCCCTTTCAAGTGGGGACTCCAGTCACAGTTTTGTTGAAAACCAGACATATCCCTGTTTGAAAGAAGATTTCTCATTTATATGACCTTGAAGTACTTAAAAATTTTGTGCAGCAGAAGGCAAACCTTTGCTCAATTTCTTGTTTGTGCAGATATATTTGTTTTGTAAGGTGTGAACCCCAGAGCATCTCTCTTCTCAA